TAAGTGATTTGATCAAATCCCTTAACTGTTTTAGTGAAAAGATGAAATAATATTGTTTAGATATTAAAAGTATTTATTTTTTAGATATTAATAGTATTTATTTAGTAAACCATGCATTATTAAATGTAGAATAATAATACAACAATATATTATAGTATTAATACAACAATAGTCATTGAAACACAAATTATTTATTCGAAACTAATTAACGAAAGAAATAGGTACTTAAGCAGATATTTTTAAAAACAAAAAAAATATTTTTAGTGAAATTGTAAACATTTTTTGTGAATGTAATTAATAAATAATAATGTTTATTTATTTTTATTAAAACACGTTGTTGATTTGTGGCATCTCGAGTTACAAAGTAATTTGAATTGTTCACAGGAACACTTCTTAAATCCTTGACCTCCAAATACGGATAATTTTCCTGCAATCTCACGCAGACTTAGGTTAATCTGTGGAACTGTTTCGGTAAATGTTGTAGTAGCTATTTGAAGAGCGTTTCTAGGTAGCCAATGTTTTATAATTCCAACTGAGGTACCAGTATTTGGTATAAATTATTTTTTCTGTCTAATACGATCCCCACGATTTTATTTCCATCTAATGGGCCTCTATCTACCTTAGGTACATACACTAAAACTGTGGAATTCACTAACACGTCTTTAAATTTCTTCAAAGAAACTTCTACCAAGCGGCCGAAATCTGGCATCTATAGTCCTGACTTGTTTATTTCATCTTTTCACTAAAACAGTTAAGGGATTTGATCAAATCACTTACTTTCTTCAGGGAAATCACCTCACGGAGTTGTTATTTTACCATCTTCCGTGAATTGATCATATACCTTAGGGATTTGATCAAATCCCTATTTTTATCATCTCCCTGCGACATACATATACAGAGGAGCGCGCGAGCGTGATATTGAGCCTCATGTGGAGGGATACACACGGTGGCGTGTTAAGGTTGTATTCAGGGTAAGATCTCAGTCAAAAGTTTAAGAAACATAGCGTGAACCACACCTATTTTAATATTTAGATAATAATTGTTTGCTGGAATAGTATTATTTGTACTAAAATAAATTACAAAAACTATTTATTATACTTTTAATAACTACGGAAAAGTTTTTACGTATATTTTGTGCCCTTTTGATGTTCACTTTTGATATTTTTGAGTAGAATTATACCCTACGTGCAATGTAAGATAAATGAAAAACTGGAAATATATTAATCATAAAAGGTTATTAAAACGTAACAAATGATATATAGAATTACAAATATAATTGTTTTATGTATATTAAATATATATTTAGTAATTGTAACAAAATATAAATTTATATTTTATGTGATATTCTCGAAATGACTATTTTTTCAAGTGGAATTTGTTTTTAAGATATTTATTAACAACTGCAAAAAGTTTCAAAATTATGGCATATCTACATCTACAGTTTATTTTGTAATTTATATCAGAATATCGTGAAATCCCATAAGAACTCGTGTTAAATTAAAATCGTACTAACTTTTTAACAAGGCTCGCAAAGAAGCTGAAATTTTGCATAATTTCTTTTTTTAATATTATCTACTGACTGGCAAATTTCGAATAATCTGGCATATCTTTTATCTTACCCTGAATACAACCTTAAGTAAGTGAGCGAAAGCGGAGAGCAGGAGAGTGCACGTTTCGTGTGTATCCCACGTACGTGTGTATACACGAGGATGTATATTGGTGATCCGCACCCGGTAAACTCCGCCCCTGGGCTCCGTATCGCGCGCGATAATTCGATCACCCGCGATAACCGAGTATTTATTAGCCTGTGAGATTTCATTTTGATATCCGCCCTCTTCCCCTTTTCCTTCGCGTAGTCCTATCTGTATCCTGCAGGACTCTCTATCTTCCTTCCTCTTTTTCTTTCTCTCGCTCTCAAGTTTCTATGGAAGTCTTCTCCGAGCGACTGATGACGATCGTCTAGACTTTTCTTATCATACCAAATTAACGATGATAACAATAATAATAATAGCAACTTTGTGTGTCTTTCAGTGCGCGATAATGCTGTGGCACGCGTTTATATTTTCTCACGAAATAACAATTTATCCGCGAGCGCAAGTGGTACAAAGTGATTTATTTTGGTAAAGATCACTTTGTTGAAATTAAATTGGATTTACAAGAGCAACAACGCGCGGGGCAACGATCGATCGCGATGTAAGTATGTATTGAATTACGGATTATCGTTGGGCGAGGATTGGGCGACCCCAACGCTCTGCCGGGGTGCACAATAATTATTTCTGCGTTAGCCATAATTATTGCCGGGATGGCAATTAATTCTTGCCGGAGCGGCAATTAATTTATTGTGGCTTGATTAATTACCACATGGTAGGCAGGCGAGACAGTTCGTTACTGCAGCTGATTGCCCTTTTGCCGTTCTTTAAGGTCTATAGTTGGTAACGCCTATTTTTCGGGAAGAATTAGAAGACGTAAATTTTTACTTTCACACAATTATCTCTCGCGCGCATCTAAACGCATAAAAGAATTACTTTGTTGCGTCAAAGTGCATCACTTTTTTATTCAACTACGTATCTCGAAAGTGCAATATGCAGGTTTCTTTTTTGTTTATCAACGCTCCTGATATTACAATCGATATGTAATACATGTGCGCCCTAAATTCACTCGTTAATGCGTGACCATCCATCACTCCATCCGTAACGCAAATAATTAAAGCGAAGCTTAAGGGAAGCTGTTTGGAATATAATGTTTTTCTCTTGTCGCTTTTAAAATCGATAACTGGAGCGTTTATCGACTCGATTGGCGCGTTTTTCTTTCGTTATCGGGAGGATCAAACGATAAATGATGGTCACAGTTGATCTCCTGCGGTTGAGATATTGCGTGAAGTTTTCACTTTTCACCGATGACATTCCATTTGCGGCGATTGATCGACGTTTTTTTCTTTTTTTTTTTTTCTAAGCCATCGGGCGATCCGTCACCGCAAGACGAATGCGCTGTTTGAGAAACACGATTCGTTCCGTTTTCGGAGATCGTCGTTGCGGCCCAAAACATTTTGAAATTTTTCAGATCGAATCGCAGGTAGAATGTTCTGCTTTCGTTGCGGTCGCTTCGGGTTTCTTTCGCGAGAATGAATGCCCTTTGTGTACGAATGCGCATTTTTATACGAGTCACGAATGTTGTTTAATTACGGCATACACACACACACACATGTGAGAATATACAATCATCTATTATTTATTGGAAACCTTGATACACACTCGAGCTTACAATTATAAATATTATGAATCACGATATACAATACTATATTTACACATAATTGAGTTCTGATGCTTAAGTTTGACTCTCACAAAAGGAGACGGAAGGAGAAGGCACAAGGATCAGGATCAATGTCGAACAAACGAAACGGAAGATAATAATTGTAACATATCGGTTATACGAACGTATATACGGAGGGGAACAACCAGGAGGGGAAATTAATATTTCACACAGTGACGAAAGGATCGCGCTAGGTCGATACATTTTTTTGAATAAATAGTAAGACGAGAAAACTCTCTGCTGAGCTATACATATACATGCGACTCTTTGGCTCGCCCCCATTTCTATATACGGGGTGGAACTCGTAAAATATTATTTAATCCTCGCTGGCCGTACACACCTGATGCGGTTTTCATCGTAATTTTCTTTGTTTCCTTTCTGTTTCGCCATATTACAAGATTCGCACTTCGATGCTATGTATTATAACGTGTACGTATAAACCTAAGTATGTTTGTTTATTGTATAAATGATATATTCAAGTAAATCTTATGTAACACATTATTCACGAACATTCAAGAACGATGAAATCTCGGACGCGCGGATCGTCGTTAATTAATCGCAACTAAGTTAAATTTTAGTTCTTATATCTTCCTATACTCTTGCATCAATTAAATTACACCATTCTTTTTGTTTTTATGCAGATCTTGTTTACGCAAGTTTGAGAGAGATACGAAAGTTATTTGCAAATTTTTAAAAATTGACTAATTATCTCAAAGTGCGAGAATACAAATAATGCAATGCTTTCCATGTTCCTGAATATGGCGAGTAATGTCGTGTGAATATGTATTTATTTAAGTACTACTGTCTTATATCAGCGGCAATTAAGCGTCGTTACTGACGCTCGTTTTGATCTCAATATATGCCGCTTGCGAGATCGAAATAAGCAACTATAAAAAAAAACACCGCATCGATCGCCATTGTGTTAATTAATAATCACCGATCGATGCGATAACAAATTGAATCGAAGTAAGTCTTATTTCACTGATCGCACATTCGGCACTCCGAGATCGTGGCAATGTATCGACGACTTTTATTTCTACTTATTCGATCAGCGATAAATCGCTACAGAGATACCTATACTCACTCGCAAACATACACGATCAATCAAACGAATGAGCATCGTTCTGGTAAGTAGAAAAAGCGAAAGTATATAGCAGCAAATATTAATTATTTATATATAAAAAAGCGTTTGCACACGAAGAGTCGATGGGACCTATTGTATAGGTTCACGGGAGCCTGAATTATCGACGACTAAACAAAATATATATGTAAGGCACTTCGCACTGTGTCGCGCTTATCTTGTGTGAGAGTCGATATAGAATTGAAGTATCAAATGTAGTATCGAGAAATATGAAATTCTTTAAAATATAATGACCTTTTTTATTTCTAATTTTAAGTAGTCTTTTATTTTGTAAAAAAATAAATTCATTCACAGTATCAGGCTGCTCTTTAAACCCTGATGAAGTGAGATGTAATGTTCACGAAATGTCGGTATAAAAATGACACTAACGCGGTTCAAACCCGAAAAAACATCTTTGTATGTTAAATAAATTCATTATCGCGTTTTAACACTGTCGTAATCTAATGTAGCTTCAGCCAATAGCTTCAGTTCATTTTTACCTGAACCGTTTTCTACCTTAACGACACAGTACATGTTATTTCTTATCGGCGGAACATCCTCGTTTCCTTACTCGCGAAAGATGCGAGGGGCATCGTGATCAACTCGAGAGAAACGAGGAAATGAAGAGAAACAGGCTTCCGCGCGCTAGCGCAGCTTCTAGTTAATTCGGCCTTTATGCGTCATGTAACTTATGCTATCCGACAATAATTTGTCTCGCGCTTGTCGTCGCATTCGCGAGCACATAGCTAGTATCGTGCCGGCCATGATGCAGAGGAATGCACAGCCGAGTCCCACTATCGTGCTGGCCACGGAAGATTTCAAGCACACTCTGTCAGTCGTAGATTCGCTAAGACCTGCGAAAAAACATTACAGATTAAAAACAAAATTAATCAAATTAATCAAATATATTTGAAACTGCTAAATACGCGCGCCAAAACGTTCGCTCCAACAAGAAGAAACGTTCGAAAAGATTTTTATTATCTCGGAGAATAAAAACTGTCAAAAAAACTGCACTTAGATTTTCTCTTAAAAAAAGTAGCTTGTTTGCCACTCTAATTGAGATAATAAATGTACAATTTGAACATAATTTGTTCTAACAGTAAAGTCAATCTTTGACATAAATGTTTGTTTTACCGCTGCGAAAGGCGTTGGTGGAATTCTGGAACAGTTCCGTGTCCGCCTCGCCTTCCTGAAGAACGCGAAGCGACTGGAAGAGATTCACGTTCTCCGACAAACTGGTTGCCGGCGTCGACGGTCCACCGATCACTTCCGGCACCGATCGTTTTACCACGTTCTTCGCGTTTCTCCAGTGACAAGGTTGGCTCTGAAATATGCAACGAATGAAGCGTTTCACAATCTAAGAATATACCTACGTCGAAACTGAAACGTCGTTGTATTTTAATAACACAAAGAACGAAAGCGTATCATATGGCACATCGAGAGAGAATATATATATACGTGCATTTGCAAAACCAGATTATCTTGGCACGACTGTTCGAAAATATCTGTCGCGATCTTTTTGCTAAGTGAAGGAAAATTGTATGTAATATAAAAAATTAGAGAACAGTTTCCGTGCGCAACGACGGAAATAGGACAATATATTAATAGCTCGACGATATCTACTTAAAGATAAAACCATCTTGGTGCGATTAATCGCGTTTAATCAATGCGATGCTTAAGTAGATTAAAAGCGAATAAGAGTGGATTATATAAAAAAATCGATTGTCTGTAAACGTTGTCGTAATGGACAATATATATCTAGTTACCGGACATCTTCCGTGGCACATGCGAACATCACACTCGATGTACAGGGCCGGCGAGCCGGTGAACCTGAAGGTCTTCATGTAGGCGAAGACTTGCGTCTCGAACAGACCGCTTTCCGACCAGGAACCTCGAAACCGGCTGATCAGTTTCTCATCGACCGGGCACCCGTATTGATCGATCAGTTGAATTCTCTTATTGCCGCCATTGTGCGCGTAGCAGTCGTTCACGACAATGTCAAAACCGTCTGTAAAAATCAATCAATCGCATATATTTATATTTTGTCTTTCTGCGATTCCTGTCTGTTAAACAGAAATGTTTGTTATTGCCTGTAATCCTTGAGATAATGTATAGTACAGTCACGTTTCGAAACTTGAACTACTCGTAAATCGAGGGCTACTATCAGCGCTGATTCGAGAAATGATCGTGACTTTAAATGCGCAATTATGTACATGTAAGCGCATGATATATTCAGAGAAAGAGACAACCGTTTCTTATATTGATTTATTATAATCACGTAGAAGAGGGGAACACATAGAGTGAGAGAAAGAAAGAGCTAGATGAAGAATGATTAGCTTTTGCGAAATGCCATCAATAATAAAGCCAATTAGTCTTAGAACTTGTTGAGAGTAGGGACAAGATGTGACGTCTATCTTCTGACATAGATTAGCGTGACATAAGTGATGTAGACATAAATACAGAAGGCTGTGGGACTCGTTAGATCACAGACATCTGTCGTTACGTCGCCGACGCGGCGCGTTGCACACATTTTCGCGTCTCCTCCTCGAACCAGCATTTCCGCATCTTTCGCAAATTACCGAGCTCGGACTCCGCAGCCAACGACTGACAAAGTCAGTCCTCTCTCTCTCTCTGCCTCATCTTATACCGTTATTGCTGTCGAATGATACCTTGGCGGAATCGGGCGTCGTATGATTAGGCTGGGCAGTGTAGTATAAGAAAAGATATATACGCGAAACGAAAATGTGCGTGCCGTGCGTGATTTGCAGGAACGGCTTGTTGTCAATATTACAGACTATTTGTCTTGAAGGCTCATTCGTTCGATCGTTGTGGCCGTCGTTAGCACGACGTTAGACGCGTTAAATTGAACCTCGAAATTGATACATTCGAAATCGTGTTTTGTACGTGCGGCAAATAAACGTGTGTAATTTAGTTATTTTATCGCACAGAATACTAATAACAAAAATATAGATACTAATAACAAAAGAATAAAATATCTAAGTTTTTTTTTTTTTATACACAGTTGATACTTCATATTTTTCAATTTTCAAGAAATTCATTTATCGTCGTTTATGGTTCCCACTTCCCGTGTTCATTCATCGTTCGCTCAATAGCTCCAGTCCTGACGATTTGCGTGGCCGAAGCTGGCAGCTATGCGCGGTGCGTAGAAGCTTACCGTATTTGCTGCGCATGTAGATAATGAGAGTCAGAGGATCGCCGACGCGAACTGGTCCAGCGACTCTAGTTCCAGTGGTCCCGTAACCGTATCTGATTTCCATGTAGCACTCCGGCGGCTGCAGGGTGAAGACTACGGGATTTCCCGTGGCGACCCTGGAAGAGAAGGTGGGTGCGTAAAGAGGCAGGAAGAATGCGTATCCGTTATCTCTCCCGAGCAGTACGGCCTACTTCGCGCCAGTGGATAGCAGATGTTAGACATTATCGTGGATATTACGTAAACGGCGGCCTCGCGCGCGAAACGTTCCATCGATTTCGCATAATCGAAGGTCTCAGACGATATCGTGTCATTCCTCGCGCGCATTATGAAAACCATTTTGAGAGAGTCTTTTTCTTTTTGATCGACGTTGACCTTTTGTACGATTTCCGCAATTTGTGTATTATTGAAAACTCGGCTTGTGTGTATGTTATATAATTTTTTTTATTTATCCAATCCCATCGTCATCAATATCGATTTACTTTGATCGGCAAACATCTCATGTACGTAAACACACGCGCGCGAGTATGTGTAAAATCGTACAAAATCAACACACGAGTTTTTACAAAATGATAATTTATAAATTTGAAAACAAAAAAGCAAAACGCAACAAAATAAAATAATGAAATAAAAGTCGACACTCACTCGACGTCGAGAAAGGGAAACGTCACCGTCTTCCAAAAGTCGTAGCCGTACTCACAAGTCACCTTGAAGTGCTCGTCGAATTCCTCCTCTATCAGCGGATTGTACTGCACCGTGACCGTGTTCCACATGAGATTTTTCTGCAAAAACAAGGTGTGAGCATGTGAACGCGTTGGTGAATGGTTCCGTACACAAATATATACGCGAGCGCCTTGTTCTCACATACAATCTCGCTACAATAGCGATACAATAGCATTCCCGCGCGGTTTCCGTTCTCCTAATAAAATGCAACATCTAATTTGGCCTGATTATCGAGATTAAAACCAAACCGTCGCAATCGTTTCTTCTCGCGAACTTAGTTCCCGATCGTTGTCATTCCCTCCCCGTCAACCGATTCGGCGAAGTAACGATCTCTCACTTCGCGACAAGACGCGCGCATCTTAGGTCGCGCTTGTTACGTACCGTCGGGTTCTTCCTGCTGTCCTGATGATGAGTGTTCTCGCCGAGGGTGCCGCATCGATTGAGCTGAATGTAGAACTCGTAGTAGTCGCGGCCCGTCCCGTTAACGTACATGCAATCGGAGTCGTACGAGTAGCCTGCAATTAAAAACGATTGTTCTTCGTCATCTGAAGTGCCGACTACTTTGCGACGTGTACGCGCGCGCACACATCGACATCTCGAGTGTGCGCGCACGTAGTTGGTTGCTTCTCCAAGTGCCGGTGACTGTGTGCGGGTCGCGCGGCGGATGATGATCGTCGCGTTCTCTTTGTGAAGCAAAATGAACGGCGAAGCGTAAGTGAGGAAACGCGAAGTATAGTCGTTAGCGCCGTGATAGGAAGTCGGAGATTAGGTTAATCCGACTTTTTCATTCATCTCGCTGGAGATTCAATCATGTAGTTTCAATGTTTCAAACGAAGCTTGCGTTACATTAACGCAAAAAGACACGATGTGCTCGCGCTCGATTGAAAACATTGATTTAATATCTCGCGCAATTAGTCGTCGCGAGAATAAGCGCGGAGAGATTATAACAGAACAGAAATATTGAAAAACCGGAAGAACGCGCTACGTGCTATCGAAAGAGAGTGATTTTTGAGCGAGCTCAAAGAATGGGTCACAAAGGCCCATCGCTTCCGCAGTTTTTTATCGAGGCGTTGCACGCCAGGGAGGCACGGCGCGGTACACTTCTTTTGAAATAACGGAAGTATCTTACTAGAACGAACGAAATGGACTTACGACGGTCGAAGGAAAAAATTCCGGCGCGGCCGATCGCTTTACGATAATTTCCACCATTACCTCGTTAGCGCGGACGTATATACTCGTCCCACTGTCTGTCGAGGTAATTGCGGATACCGGCGATGCAGTCGGTTATGCAGCCACATTTTAGGTACATCATCATGTCGAATCTGCTGACCGTAATGGAAGAGATCCAGCGCAAAAGTCTTAGAACCGTCGAACTGTTTTTTGCCGTTCGCGCTATTTGCATAATTTACCCGCGTAATAGTCCGGACCGAGTTTTGCGTCGAGTGTGATTATCCCTCTCCTAACTAACAATCAGCCGTGTTTATCGCGAAATTCTTTATAGAATTAATAAAATTTTACCTGCTGAGTACAAGAGACCGGTGAAAGATCCGTTGAATCCAATTCTGATTTTCATGTAGTCGTCTTGGCACTCCGCTTCGATATCTGCAAAATTTGTTTTCTTTTTTTTTAATCAGAAAAATCAATATTCAATTATTGTAAATTTTGTTGTACAATTAAGTGCGATAGTATTATAATTGTTTCTTTGAATCATGAATTCTCTGTGAATTTTTTATTAAAAAAAAACATTTCTCGGCGCAATACCGTTCCGACAAGCTATCAAAGAAGGTATCTGGAGAAGACCTAGATCAGCTACATTGTTGATCCATCAGCGCGATGAACTCTTCGCCTCTACGGCTTTTCGTATTTGCGAAACTGAGAAGGTCTAGGTGGGACCTCGAAATGACGAAAGAGGAACGGAAAACTGTGCCATCCGAGTATACGAACCATAAGAAGAAAACTCACTATAAACCATTGTTGAATACCTCTCGTTGTCCGATTAATAAATCAACGAGGCAACTGTGAAAATGGACGTAAATCGCGCGATGATTGTGATAATGCTCTTTTAGTAAAAATGTTCCCGGTCGGAGAAGAGGTTCTCAGGAAGGCGCAAATAGGACACGGCAATTGACTCGTCTCGGACCAAGTCGGATACATATCGAGAACGAGGCGAATCGATCGATCGTGGTGCGTGGGCGTGCGGCGAGTGAGCAACCGAGAGAGATCCTGTCGTCATTCGCGTGTCGAAACCGGGTGCGGAAAATCGTAGATTTGCGGATAGGAGCGAGTGGAAAACCGGTCGCTGATGACGAGTGAAAGTAAGTTGGGGGTCTCGTATAGGCGCTCTTCGTGGTAAGAAGCCGTTTCCACTGTAACAACGTAACTCGCCGCCGCGGCTGTAAAGCGGAATGGAGATTGATGGAGGATAGAGATAGTTACACTCGAGGTGTCTACCGATGATACAACCTTTTCGTTCCGTGACCCACGCTCCGTCCCACACGCGGTTCCTCGTAGGATGGGCCTCGTAGACGCATCTTCGCATGACATTCGAAATAATCCGAGAAACTATTTATATTCATTTGACGCTTATAAACATCATTCTTCAGGAACAAAAATATAAAAGTGCTGAATCGATCGGAACATCGAAATACATTTTGCGATTACGTAATTAATCGAACAAATAGAAGTCACATTCGTAATTGTTAAATATTTAGGTATTAAAATTAAAATGCTGTTACATCTTTGAATATAATAAAAATTATAACACACAACCGTGTTTATGCTTCTATTGGTCTACTTTATTTTCACTTAATTCGCAAAGTTTGGAACAATCCACAACTCATTATATTAATTAAATATGAACTTCAGTCAATTGATCTCGAATGAATAAAACTACTCGAGTGACGAAGAAATTGAATTTGAAGAAGCGAAAAGAAAACCGGCGCGAACAGATCCGTGGAAAAAAATAGTAAAATAGAGAGATATGAGAGAGATAGTTACACAAGGAGGCGCCGCATACCGATGATACAACCGTTCTGTGTTTCACCCCTCGTTCTACGTCACGTGTACGTCTATACACAGCGAGCGAGTGTGGCGCATTTTCGAGCGGCGTATATACGTATACGCACGCTTATTAGAATTGCGGATGCGTGCTTTGTGTTCATCGTCCGGCAAAACGTCAGTGGGCAGACAATGGGAAGAGTTGAGCAACGCCAATATTTGCTCGAACGTGCCGAGAGCGAAGAGACTCGGAGAACATGCTCTGCCGGGTTTCTTCGGGAAACTTGTATCGCGCGTGTAAAAAAGCGATAAACTATTAAGTTTGTTTATTAAAACTTGCGAATAAACAAATCTTTGAAATTCAATTTCGTGTGTTTCAATCTCCTCATCTAAATTCTCTCGTGCGATTATTCGCTTGCGCGAGATGCTCAGAGAAAAACCGTATAAGCAGCTTCGCGTGTGCGTAGGAAAATGTGAATAAATGTGTAGGAGTATAGAGTTGGAGAAAAATAAATAGCAAAATAGACCTCGAACCCGGGAAGACGGGAGAATCTCGAGCGCTACCGACGAGGATACATTAAATCTAATGGAGCCCCCTTTCGCGTAATTGACGATACCGCGGGTGGCCTCAAGTTCCCGCGGAGAGCAAGCGGCTCGACTTTACGACTTCATTGAGGCAGCGAGCTCCATTACGCCGAGCGTAACATTCATCATTGCCAATGGCAAGCTCTCGTCCGAATGTTTTAGGAAATTTACCGTAGCACCGCGATCATCGATCCTGTCTCGGTGAGCTTGGATCTCTATCGATCTTTACAAAAATAACGTCCGGTCGGGTTTGCTCGCATGCACGAACTATGCGTGCGGAATAATTTATCGGAGCTAACAGGAGCGCGAGGCGAGGGAGGAAGATTCAAGCATGTGTTCACTTGTAACTCAACTCTTTTTTCGAAGCGCAAATTATGAAAAGAACCAACTTCCCGTGGTTTGTAACGAAAGAAAGAGTCAATCTCTCTGCGCAACATCCCATGCGCATTCACGTAATAAGGTTTTGAAATTACACGTAGCTACGAATTTGTGAATCTCTCAAATAGATCGTAGGTCGTCTGCGCGCAGTAAATGTAAATAATACGGACACGTTGATGAAGAGCAAATTGACTTAATAATAATTAGGAAAACACAAGACGATCAAAAAATATGTACAAAATGGCTTAATAGGTGCTTCGTTCCGGTTTAATGAGAGAAACGATGCGTCGTTAAAGCATTTTTCGTACATTGCGGTTTTACGATCGTAATTTTCCGCACAATGCGATTAAAAGGGCTCGCAAAGGAAAGCTTGTGCAGTACGACGGGCAATTCCCGTAAATATTACATATACTTGTATTTACATTACCACGTATGAAACATGCTATAATTTTCTCTCGGGAATATCAGGTAGTAAAGTCCGCCAACACACCGGTTGTGTATGTGTGCGATTACTCGCCACATGTTCCATACTTGCAAGTTGTGTGTGCGTACAGGTAGCATTTACAATATACAACACATTTTTGCAAAGTTTCACAAGAGAAAATCTCACATTCGCAACGAATAAGCTGCGCGCGTGCTATATCGTAGGAAATTTAATTTTTTTGTCTTCACAGGACATCGTCTATTATTCTTTCAATAACGGGATATTGCGTCGGCGTTATTAATGTCTTGTTCTACTGGCATTAATTACCCGCCTGCAGCAGGTAGCTTACCTGCCGCGCGCGCATCCGCTACACACACGTGAGATTAAAACTGAAGCATCAACTGATTAGATGAACTTCTTTAATGAGAAGTCACTGATATCGCAAAGGCGAACTAATCAAGGAAAATTGATTGCCAAGTCGATTTGAGATCGCCATTGTTTTTTTGTCATCATAAAATCGTGGAAAGCACGGAATTGTGTAATTTTATTATATTATTGCTACGGAGCGCAAACGCGTGATGCAACCGGCGCGCGTTTTTTTAGCGCACGATGCAAATTACACGCGAAACCGGAACGCTGCAGAAAAAATGCAAAAATAAGAAAAATAGCAAACAGTAGAATACACGTAACTGCAAGGATTTGCAACGCGATATATAAAAAATATTACATTATATATTATTATATATATATATATATATACACGAGATTACGTTAAATCATTCAAGGATAATTTTTCAATAGACTCGACGACATAACCTCACGTCACAACGTGAACTCGCCGGCATGGCGATAAAGTAAAAATGCCATATAACGGCCGCTCACATAAACATCATTTTCACTGCGTTGCAATTTCCGCGCGGAAAAAGCAGCGTCCAGAAACGAGCTGTCGTCGATTACCGGGCGTCGTATAACGTATACGCGTCGAAATATCTGCACGGTCATATGTGCTCGAGTTTTCACGAGGAGGAAGAGGAATCGATCGTGCGATTCGGATAATGACGTCCCGGCGCGGGAGATGATAACGACACGATCGCGCGGGATTCCGATGATGATGACGATCGGAGACGCTGCCGTCGTCGGAGGTGCGCGTCGCGAAGACGTTGTATTACCTCCTGCGTCAGGAACTCTCGATGTCAAGAGCGTCGACTCGTACAACTTTCCGACACCGTTTTAATTGCCTCCTCTCTAACGGTAGCCACTCGCCATCGCACTCTCTGAATTCCCGGGCGCGCTAGCCGGAGGACGCACGGGCCAAGATGAACGATACAAGTCGATTCGAGAAGCGCTACGTTACGATTTTGTCAAATCGATCAACATCAAACGGTATAGCGAGTCACGATCTGTTTTCTGTCACGTAGTCTGCGAATTTCGGGACTTCTTCAAACACAACGAACGAAAAAATAACGAACGGAAAAATAACGGATTCGACATGCTAAACGACGACGACGACGGCGGCATCTTTCCGCCGAGGCATACTGACCCACCGGACCGGTACCGGTAAATACTTTTTGTCAGTAGCGACCTAGAGCGGCGACCCTTTCGTTCTACACGATGAGCTGATCGTTTGTTTGTGCTCCGAGTATATTTCTCTCGCGAAATTGACTCTTTAATTAATGTAATCGCGAGCTACATTAAATCGATAAACTATTACAGAGCAAATGAAGAGTTCTGTTCTGGGGTGCTAGACCGACGTAATCAATACTCTCTCGTAACGCATTTCCGCTTAATTAACGTGTTGTTGCAAACATCGAATAAAACTACTTACAAAGCAGGAAATTTCTATTAGCTCGTACAGATTGTACTGGTCGAGAGGTAATTTCCTCTCTTTCGCGCGCGATGTACCTACGTGTACACCTGCCACACATCTATGTACTTTATTGAAGAAACACGAGCCTGCTATACGTAGAACTGCGATCTACATCAGTTATGAGAGAGATCATTTATCTTGACATTGTCATCAAGTCTGTAGTAATCAAACTTAGCAAGAGAGAAAGAGAGAGAGAGAGAGAGAGAAAGTAAAAAACAGTTTTTTCTTTATACCCACGTTGTACTCTCGTTGTGTTGGGCCTGTATCTTCGATGCTCGCGGTCCCAGCTTTCCGGATGTCTCCTCCAATCCTCGTCACCGGCCACACCTGTGCCACTGCCTGTGGTGAGGCCTTGCAAGCCCTGAAGAGTCTGAAGAGCTTGTAGATTTGGGTTCAGAGGTCGATTTTTTAACGACGGAACTGGCACGTAAGCGGCGCCTTCGCCGACGTACACGACCTTACGTGAAACAAAAACGTAGTTTATTAGTGCTGACAACGGTACAGGGTACAGTATCGGGTACGGTACCGTTATTAACATATTTGTTATTTGTACAAGCAATATATGTGCATTTTTTCTTAATTCAATATAAAATACTTGATTACTACATTATCCGAAAAACTGTTGTATAATTTTTATGTGCAAGAGAAAAGAGAGAAAGAGAGAGAGAAGAGTTTTTTAAAACTTAATTTATTAATAACTGTATATTTGCCCGCTAATAGGTAAAACAAAATGATGAGTCACACATTACGAACTTTCTCATATTAATTTGTTAAAAATTTCTCGCGGAAGTTATTACTGGAAGATCAGTTCGTCTGGTTTGGTTGCTCAGGTTTCGTCGATTCACGCTACAATAATTGACGGTTAAATCAGATATGATCGTTCACGCTGATAATTGACTGCCCGTGCCGAATTCCCGAGACTAATGATATTCGTACGTTGAGGAGGGAGGAGCTCGGGGGAAGGAACGAACGCAAGAAATCCCCGCTAACGAGTCGCAAGTAGTGATTTGCCAGGTTTCGAAGCCGTTACAACTCGCGCGCGGAATTCCCGCGAAAATATTCCCGCTCCGTAGGTAGGTAACACGCTCGATCCCCGGCTATGCAAAATCCATCCCGTCGAGCGGGAGCCCTGACCTCTCTTACGTTAACGATCCGGTTTAACCCCCAACCTGTGCGGATCGCTACCGCTCGAGCGGTGAGAAAGGGCGAGAAAAAATGTTGAGGGGTCGAGACCACGACGAGGAGGAGGCACACGCGGAAGAAGGGAGGCGCGGCCACGGTGGAGAATCCAGAGAGGCGGAAAGGAACGACTACAGGAGAAGCCGACGAGGAAGTCTCAGGAAAAACGGACAGCGCACGGAGTAGCGCGTGACTAACGCTTTACGAGCTCATTCCCCGGCAAGCGTGGGTACTCGAGGTCTTCCATTCGCGTACGCCGCGGCGCAAGAAGAGAAACAAGAACAGCGAACAAGACAACGAGGAACTTAGCTTAGAGAGGAGGGGAAAGACGGGAGCGATTGAGGAAAAGGATTGTGCTTCAAGCCGCTTGTCGGCACAACGCGAGCGCGACAGGTAGGTAAGTAGGCACCTCTCCGGCGAATTGGCCGGGGAAAAGAAAAGGTACGGGCACGTGGTTAGGTGGTGAACACGGAAAAAGTCGCGAACATATGCCGTGACGAAGAAAAACCGTCGCTTTAGCTGCGCTAATGTTTGTTCTTTCCGATCTTATCCGTTCCTTTCTTTTTTTCTCGAGTGAGTTTTTCATCTCACGCACATGTCTGGCGGAAAGGGGAAGAAGAGAACGAACGCGACAGTTTACGTCCGCGAGCACATAGGCAAATTGTTTCTCTTCACGGATTCCACTTTTGCGGAATTTCAGGAACTCGAGTGCGACGCGCGATGGGCGTTTATGGGCCAGTGGAGTAGTTAGAAGATCGTTCTCTCTCTTGTTCGGCAAAAAAAAGCCGGCCGCGAACGAGCAGCTCCACAAATGTCCGAGCCATTCTCCGCCGTGAAATGACCGGTGGTCGCTGAATCCTCCGTGGTATCTCATCGGAATGTATTACCCGACGCGAACGATAAGTGCCGATTATCCTCGACTCTCGTCGTGCTTAGCCACGGTTGCTTCGGCGTTAACTGTGCTGTAACTTGGTAGCGCAAACGCGGCAATACGAGATACGCTCTTTCGTACGTACCTTACCCAATACACCGGCAATTTATTCTCGTCGAAGTTTTTCTTCACACGACAATGTCTTCCGACTACTTGTGTGTCGGTTGTGTTCTTTTTCTTCCAAGAAACTTATATTTCTTACTTATAAACACATTCGTTTCCGGATAATTTGTTCGACAATTTCCGTTCTTCGGAATGCGGGTTGATATTAGAGAATGATGCATCAGCATTCGACACGGTGAATACAATTCAACATTCGATCTTGCTTGTATAAAAAAAAAAACGTCTTCTTTAATGATCGATTAACATCCACGATTCTTTAAAAAGACAGAAAGAGAGAGAGAGAGAGAGAGAGAGAGAAGATGTGAAATAACCGTTTGAGCTTTCTCGGTTTCTTGCATTCTGAAAGACGATGCCGACAGACAAGACTTGGTTTCTTCTCGAGTGAGCGTTTATTTCTTCATTTGATCAAGTCGCATCGAGACATGCGCATTCATGCAGTGATTAACGGTCGCGCGGTTAGAGTGTCGAAAGTCATTAGTCGAGGAAAGATCGCTCGAATAACTTATATAAACGCTCCTGTTTCTAGAATGTAACTTGAATAAGATCGAGTTAAAAACTCCAGGGGATTGCTAGTTAGATCGAACTTTATACGTAATTTTACAAACTTTAACAAACTACTCTGTTATGTATTTATATTTTTTTTACAGATTCTCTTTTTTTTTAATTTTTGTTTTTATTGTAGATGATACTTTTGCACATAAGATAAATATAAATAAGAATTAATATTCATTTGTAATTAAAACCAACAAATTTATTATTCAATTGCGCGACATTATCTTTTTCTGTGATTATCGGCCGCAATAATTTTCGTAGGAACGGTTCTTTGCCTTTTGTGTGGCTTGTGTGTGTGTGTGTGTGTGTGTGTGTGTTAGAGAGAGAGAAAGAGAGATAATTTAGAATTGTTGCTCTAACTACGCATCCCACGGCGCACTTCCTGATCTTTGCCTTCTCAATTGAAACGAACGGAAACGGCGGAATGCGGCGCAGATGAAATTGATCGTATATTTCCCGTTCCGCAGAGAGTAGAGCACTCTCTGCAGGACAAACAAACTGCTCCTCAAGTTCTCGAGTAAATCGAGGTCTCTCTTTTCTTCCTAGAAGAGAGAGACTCTCGCACGGGGCGCAAGAAGCGATCTGTTCGCCTCGCAATTTGCGATATAACGAAGGTCGCGCACGGACTTGGCCGCGATACCCTTTCCTCCTCCAGCTATTCTACTGGAAAACTGGTTCACGTTTTTTTCGCGATCGGAATCGATCCCGCTTGAAACTAGTTTAAAGACGTTCCAGAGAAGATCATCGGATAAACGGCGATTAATCAAAGGAATGGTCTTTTATTCCGCTTCCCTCACCGAGAAAGATCGCGCGCCAACCAACCTTCTGCCCTTCGTTTAAGAAACAGCCAACGGCATTTTCTACGTGCCGCGGAAAAGGCGGAAGAATTACAGGAGAGGATCTCTCGAGCGAATGCGCCTGGTGCAATAATTGATTTTTGTCGCGAACACACGGACTCTTCTGCGGCTTCACGTCGTCGCAGCGACGACGGCGAGAGAGTCACACCGAGATATATATATATATATATATATATATATACGTATAAGCAAGACGATCTTGGGTGCACCTCGTACATCCTCGGCAGGTATTTTTTCCGCTCGATCGAGAACGCGCGGACGATCGAGGCGTCGTCTCTGCTGCGGTTAACTGTCGGCGTTCCTTATTTTTTATTCTCTTGAATATCATAGCGGATGCAGAACACCTGCATCCAAGCTCGCGGCCTTATGTGCGCGAGCATTCGCTAACGAGGAATCACGCAAAACTGAACAGATGGGCAAGTATCATTCCTGCATTTTCTTTTTTCCACTCTTCTCGTTAACTCTTTTTTTTTAATCCACTTTCGAGGAAACCGTTCGCCAATTAACTATAACTGGATGTACGCGCGTCGGAGGCGGCGGCGACTGTGCATAATACGCATGTGTGTAGGTATGCCTTTCTTCTTTACTCTCTCACTTTCCTTTTTGCTGTCGCAAGCGATATTTATGGAAATTTTGCAGAGAATTGCAAAAAATAAGCTTCCTGACGAGAAAGTTTTATTATTTATTTTCTCTCATTTTCATTGCTTTGTGATTTATTCGCGATAAGTAAAAACGTGCACTAATTATATTACGAACGTTTCTCTATTTTTAAAAATATGTATCATTTTTATACGCGGGAAATATAAAGTATGGAAGTAAAGCGCATTTTCGCATAAAGAGATAACGGAACAAAGAAATAGCCGATCGGGAAGAAACTCGCGTTGTGCGCCAATGTCTATTACAAATTTCAACAAATAGATGCGCAACGCGAAACAAATTGACGATGCGTGACTTACAGCATCGTGGTCGCTGGCCTCGTGAGTTAATGCTTCTCTGGTTTCGTTATGAGAGTTATCGTCCTCATCGAGTCCTGATCCGCTGCCCGCTAAATAATCGTCGGTAGCGTCATCGATAACCGAGTCCTCGGAAACTCCGTCCGTTTCCGTGTTGGTCGCCTTTGTGAGACAGAGTCATTTTGAGTTTTCTCGCGAGACACGAACGTGTCAAATCAATCAACTGTAAAACGAGAAATATTTACCTGACATCTCAACGTGACCGTCAGCATCCACATCGCGACGTATCTGTAACAAAAAGTATTTAGTTATTTTAATTAAAATAAAATTCAAATTTTTCCGAAAAACCGCGTTGCGCAAACCATTTTGGCGCGCCAACTTTTGTGTGTTTGAAATTTATCCTTAAAGTGTATCGAGATAATTTTTATTCGGGCATTGCTCAAGAATTACGGTTTACACCGAGAGAGAGCGACCAAGGTCGATTATGAAGGCCGTTACATAAAAGGGCGTTGCCTTCGCACCTCCGGTTTGTTAAAAGAAACCATCGTCGCAATAAAAAAATAAAAACTATTACCGGCAACAGGTTTTCGTTTTAAAAAGTAACAGCTCGAGAGTAATTGCGAGGTGTGACAAGCACGCCGAAATAAAATCGCCGGGACGTGATTAACAACAAGCGAGGTACGAGGAGAAAAGAACGACTTTTTGTGGATATATCTCTCTCCGCGCGAGATATATATCGCGCGGTATGGGAAACTGAAGTGACACAAATCGCGCATAGCACGGTCGGTTGTATAAAGAATAAGAACATCAGTGGAAGAGATGACCAACAAACATGTTCGCGTGGTCTTCTTGTTTCCACGTTCTCTTTCTTCTTCGCGGTCTGCACTATGATCTAGGATATGACTCATCTCTCCTCGCCCTCGCATCCTGCATCACACTTCCACGTGAATCTCGTGAGTGAGTTTCTTGCCTCCTTCCGTTTGCCGACCGTTCACACTGGACGGATTTTTTCGGTGTGATTCGCCGAGCCGGCTCGTGCGGCTATTCGCACGCACATGCGAGCGACCGCGCCCGCATCAATCCTCATCTTCTGCTGGATCATCCAACTGAGTTCACGGTTGATTTTTACTGTTTTTTTGTATATATATATATATATATAGATAGATAGATAGATTTATATATACAAGTCGTTTCTAATTATCTTTATGGTTCATCGCAGCTTGACGTGAGAACTTTACGCAAAAGTGTCTACGTAATGTAGAACTCTGTTGGGTCATAAAACATTTGGAAAAAAATCTTTACGTTTAACATGGATCTTGTGTTCGAGCAATTTGTTTCTTCAATATTATTTTTATTTCACATTTCCAAGAAGATTGTGCACGAACGTATAACGACTGAAACACGAAAAGTATCTTCCACATGATTCCAATCTCTGCCAAGAGATGTGCCTATTTTATTTATCTGATCGCGTTTTCATCGCGAGGTGTTTTCATCTCGCGAAGAGACCACAGGACGCTTCTCACATACTGAGTAGCGAGACTTCGTAGACAGCAGCACATGTCTCACATGAGTCATACCAAGGTTTTCATCACGATTAAACTTTACGTTGACCATGACTTTATGTTGACTGGTTTGTTATTTTTGGAACGGCAAAACAAAGATTATCTTTTCGCGGTCGTGTTTGCAATTAATTTTTGCGAGAAGTTTGTCATCAGTTATTATCAGCTGTTGTTCAATCGTCCGCACGCCTCTCTCTCTCTCTCTCTCTCTTTCTTTCTTTCTCTCTCTCGCAATTTTCCCAGGGTCGCGGGAATTGGCTGACCGCAGTTTTCCGAGACGTTATCGCTGGAACTTTAGAGCGCGTATTACTTGCGTTATAAAACGGTCGAGCGGACAGTTCGCTGTTCCATCTAGACGGTTAGGCAGTCGTTCAAACAAAAAAAAGAAATGCTTCCCGCACGCTAGATACGCTAGAAGTTGTTTGAGAAAATTACCTGCATCAGGTCAGAGCACCGCGTATGCTGTGTATATATGAGATATTAAATAACACAGTAAATTACAACGATAATATGCCGAAATTTAAACGCGCGTTTAAAGTTACTTACGAAGAAAACGGTAATATTGATAAGCATTATATTTATACGTACATTACGATAGATTTGTTGTTTCTTTATTAATAACCATAAGTAATATCTTTATTTATAACTCGGTGTGTTCATGTAAACAGTGGTAAATAAAAGTTATTATTATTATTTACAAGAACACCTGAGAAAAATAAAAAAAAAACACGTTCTTTAAAACCACATTTTTGAGATGTACTTCAGATAATTATTTTCTTTAATTGTTTCTTCTCTTTTATAATTACGTTTCATATGTGATTTTGTGATTAATATAACATATGATAGCTGTATATATAACGTGATAACTACAACACGATAACTATCACATCGCGATATATATAACATGATAACTTAAACGCGATAACTATAACATGATACTCATTAAACGTATCTGAAAAAAAAAAAAAAAATAACAACGGAATACAACATCGTCATTTTTACATTAAAAAAAAAAAAAAAAAACAGAAGTAAAAATAGACACGTATGCATCTGCAACGCTCGAACGATTAAACGATAATTATCACCGAGTAACGGTTTGCATCGCCAATTCGTCTTCTTCTGCAATATGTTAGACGATGTCACGGATGATGCGTTGATAGTCATTCTGGAGAATGTTGCCCCCACGTAAGATGATTATATAAATAACTCGAGGAATATTAAAGGAGAAATTATTCTAAGCGCAACGCGGAATTCGAGTCGTCGCGATTACATCGGTTGTCAACGAGATGAGATGCGACGGACGTAATTATGATAATTAATTTGTATATCGTCGCGCGGAGAAAGAGAGACTTAATTACTCTCTTTCTCTCTCGCGACGATTGCGCAACTCACCTTGGTTCATCGCTTTTTCTTTTTCGTCGCGCAACACGATCTTTCACGATTGGGAATATATATATTCAATTTCGCTTGCTCACACTTCACAAGTTTGTCGTTTATTAAAGGAACATTACGCGGTGTCTTGTTCAAGATATTTCTACGCGACGTCCGCGCAGTCACTTAAATGTTGCCTGAGTGCTTTGACTACAAGTTCCCGATTAACTAACTGCGTGACGCGAACTCGTCTTGAGCGCGAAAGCTCAACCTTGGCGCCATTGAACAGGTTGGATCTTGGATCTGTACAAATCGCTCGCAATTCTTTCCAAAACTAAATTTGAAAAACGTGCGCGCGAAGCTAAGGTCATTCGTAAGTTCCGACCAATACAACTTTTTTTCTTATCCACGCGCTGAGTGAATTACAACCAGCCGGCAATCTTCCTCAATAACACGGGGCTGTTTCCTCGATACAACTGTTAATGCGATTCGTTTTCCCACTGAAGCGGCAACATCAGGTAATTCCTCATTCACGATGTGTTTGCGCTTCGCGTTACAGAAACAATCAATAATCCTATCGCCGATACACATCGTCGCGGCGGCGATTGGTACGCGCGCAAACGAGCGCGTTCCGCAACGTTCCCACGTCACCCGTCTGCTCTCGATCGAGAACTTCGTGCCGAAGGAGCGCGCATCCATCCGCGTCCCGTCCATCGCCGCGGACGGCGCATCGCATCATCGTATGTAGAATTAATTATCGCCGGTCGAGCGCATTGGCAGCGATCGATAATTTCGCGAAACGTCCCGCGGGCAGCACTCACGAGTGCGCTTGATGCAATTATTAATCGCTGCCGCCGCGGTAAATGGAACGGAAGGTGTTAGGCGTGGGATGCGCTCGCGCGCGCGCGCTTGCTCCGGCTCGGCCAGAGCGCGCGGATCGCTCTCTACGCGTACCTTACACGATGATGATGGCCGTTAATCACGCGGCGCCGGGCGCGCACGCGAGATTCATAGATGCCGAGGTAGAGATAGGAGCGCGCGACTTCACGATGTGACGTGCAAAAGCCTCGCGCAGCTCTCGTCTCACCACCGTGAATTACCGCATGTACGTACACCGTGAATTACATGCGCCGTAGGAAGACGACACCGGGGCGAACGATCGCCTCGAACGACACCGGTGCGCGCAATTAAACTGCTGTCCGCTTTTTCAGAAGAAATGCGGCTCTCTCTCTCTCTCTCTCTCTCTCTCTCTCTGTCTTTCTCTCTGGTGCATGTAACACGTCTCGCGATCGCGTTTTTTTTAATACGAAATAATCAGCCTCAACGAAATTTCAAGTCACTCTCTCTTGAATGTGTAATCATCGAGTACCGCGTTCTTATTTCGCGCTACGTCGTGCGTAATGTGTCGATTATTTAAACGCGTGCGGAAAACAAGTGTGTACGATGAGGGGAAAAAAAATCGATAAGCATAAGTTCAGAGAGAAACTAGAAGTTTTTTTTTCATATACAAATATAACGGAATTGTATATAATTTGAAAACATAAATTTATGCGCATAATATACGCAACAAAATCGTTACGCAAATAATCGTTATACGTAAGTCGTCCGTAACGCTTCCGATATAGACGCAATTATGGATTTTTCCGAACTTTTATAAAATCGTCTTTTCAATATCGCGTAGTAATCTCAATTAACGCGCTTACATTCCCGGTAAATAATATTTCGTCTGCTATAAAAAGAAGTACAGTTGGAATTATATACGGCTGTGAACTCTCAATGAACGGTTCAATGCGCGCGGAACATGTGCATATAATGGAGCAATAAAACCAGCAGCAACATCCAGCGCGAACGGATGTTTGCAAACATTCATAAATTACACGTATGTTTGTTCCGCGGGGGGGAGGAGAAAAAATCCTTTTAATACGGTTGCGCGCATCAATCACTCAAGTGAGAGATGCGCTATTTTCGCTTCGCGTGCGATACGGTATCGCGAAATGAAAGAACGGTGTGTGGCGATCGCCCCCGGTCTTGCCACCGTAAAACGGAAATATTTATAGATTTTCCGAAGATTACATCCCGCGCGCGCGATGTATGTGTCGGCCGGGGCAAACCCATCAACGATTCAAGCCTCGTGTTATTCGCGTCCCGAAATAAAACATCGAGAGATATCGCAATTTCAAGCGCATCTCCCTAAGTACATACGCGAAGCCGCAAGTCACGCGCGAAGCGTAACTCGCGTATCGACCGAACGGAGAAGGAGATCCATTACCGAGAAATTGAAACCGACAGGAGTTTGACGAGTCTCTTTTTGCGACATCGAAGATCGTTCTTTACATTCCACAACTGTCTCTTAT